ATATTACTATTTGCATCATAACAGTGTGTCGAATCAGAGAGGATGAGTGCGTGTTGAATTCAACGATACTATTTTGCGACTAAGCATGGCTTTGATGATCAAGCATCCCTTACGTATAGGGTTCAAGAAGCCTTCATTTATTGTCATTGAATTCATGATGATGTTATACCGAGATAAAGTCAATATCAGAATGTTCAGTGTCGTGTCTTTCGCCTTCGTTAGCATCCTAGTTTCCATGTACTGTCAAATTTTCTCATGGGCTACTGGACAACGGGCGAATCATACAAGAAACACTATGCATGTTTTATTGCGTTTCAATACTATGTAACACAACAATTATGCCACCTCCTCCAGTAGAGTGATACAAACTTTGATAGTGACAACTAAACCCATTTTCACTTTTAAACATTGATGCTGGTTTGTACTTTTGGAGTAATCAATCAATATCTAGGATGTCAACATCAAAACACGAGTTTATTTTCAAATGGATATAGCATATAAGGCGGGTATCATCCTTTGATCATTGCTGTGAAGGAGGGTGTCGTTGCTTACTACTTCTCTTGTTGATATCGATCTATCACATTGTACCACATGATCATGCCTTCGATGGCCGATTCCCCGTATAGATAACCAAACTGCCATGATCCTGGTTCATCGACCTTGATTTGTAATGTGCGAAATGATGCTGGCATCAAGCGTACTTGTCTGACAGGTTGATCGTACAATGTTACTTCGCCTTGTTGCCACGTGATGGTATGCAAATCCTTGACGGAGCCCCAGCCTAATACATGCCACTGATAAATGGTATCGGTTTGTAACACCAAATCATTGGGACGACTTGTAATCAATCCATTGACAGATTGCTTGATATTGGCGCGTCGGAACAAGGTATGTGCGGATCGATTGGATTTCACGGCGCCAAAGTCAATCTGTGGAGCAAGCTCGGCCAAGGTTTGTGGTAGATAAGGTGAAACGTTTTCATTGAATCCTATGTAGACGTGCATGAGTAAATGGTGCTCTATCACTCCTCCCATAATCCTTACCAAGAATAGCCGTGATGATCTCCCTGCTAATGTGTTCCTGATCCATCATACCAGGTTTATATATCACAATGGGTCCAAAAAGACCAGCATATCTAATACAATTGTACATTGGCTACCTAATCACTGCTGTTACCATGAGAGTGTACATACATGTCATTTTCAGAAACATGGGAGTGATATCCCCACACAATGGAGTCGCCATCATTGGGACCAGGACCAGCTCGTGGATAAACTTGCCAAGTATAGGTGTAGTTGCCACCTGGTGCTACTGATGAGAATTCTGTTGCATCCTTGTATACAGCGCCTTCCATTTCAAACTCGTAAAAGACACCCTATGTACATAAAGAGTGAGCATGTTGATCACATAATGCAAAGTTGGATACTTACATGAGGATGGATAGAAAACTTGTGAGATGCTTTGTTGTAAAAGTGCACCTTTATGGTATCGCCGACTTCAGCACGAAGCACAGGGCCTAAAAGACCTTGCCATTGGGGACGAGGTGTTGCTGTCGAATAGGTTGCATCCGTGTATTCTCGATAGATCGCCTTATAATATCGACTGCCAATACTGGTGGATCCTTAGATCACCCTCCTAGTGTGAGTAATGATGATACGGTTATTCATGCTACTCTTCTTACCACTGGCTATCCAGAAATGCACAGCTTGATTCTCGGCAACATTGCCAGCATGTTGAGCATAGTCCCAGATCACGTCTTCGGCTGCAATGTAGTATTCTCGTACTGTCCCATTCAAAGGTCGTTCCAGCTCATTGTGTAAGGTTTCAAAGTCACCAGTGTAGTTTACAGGATGAGTAACATACGGCTCCGGAGGATCGTAGTCGAGATTGGGGTCCGATTGAGCAAAGGCAAGCTGAAGAAATAGGAGCAAAAAGATACAAACAACTGAATGATACATTGACAGGAAAGGGATGCAAGATCCTGCATTTGACTTCTATTCTTATCGTATGATTCAATAGCCGAAATCATCCCACTCTGCCCACAGCCATTGATCGATCATGTGCCATCATGTCCACAACAATGGATCTACTTTGGTGCATTCTTTCTTTTGGAGGACCTTTATGAAAAACAATGGTGCCACTGGTGGAGCTTCTTTCCTTCGTCTTTTTTTGGGAATTGCCTAGCGTAGATTATTGGGATGTGGGTCTAAATTAGATATCCAAGCGACATTTTGTATCATAAACTATTTATTATGCGATCAATGCAGTGTTGTGATATTAATAGGAAGCAATGTCAAAGGCGATAAACAAAGTTTAGATCCTCTTTGTCTGTGAGATCATAATCAATTCGATTCTCGGGTGGTGGTGGTATCTTGCCTTCTTCTTTGAGCTTCTCTCTACGCTTGTTCTCTCGTCCCATTGACCATCGCAGATAAGCAAAAAGCAGGATACAAATCAAGTCGGCCACAGCATAGCCGGTAAGACCACCAATGTATCTTGGTGCTTCTTTTTCGACCATCATAAGGGGCCCAATAAAGTTACCCAGACAATCTAACAAAGAGCGCTTGTCAATGTCTGGCATCCAACTTTCTCGGTCATTTACTTACATGCCAGGAGATTACACGACGTGTAGAAAATCTTCTTTGTATACCCGCTAACATTTGATGAAATGGACGTTTGGAGCATGGTATAGGGGGGACTGGAGGTGCCAAGGTAAATGCCAGCGAGTTGCCCTGGACTAGGTGGAATAGCAGCTAGTAGAATGGCACCAATCATGACAATAGACGTGCTCAACATGCCAACATAGCAAATGTCATTGTATCGCTTGCTGAGAAACATGACATTTGCAAGGAGAATGATAGTGGCAAAAGCATGTGGTATTGAAAGCAATACGGTATTCAATGCCTATAATGCAAATAAATGTTTAGATCACCATTGTTGGTATTGCCAATGATGCGTACTTACGCTGAAGCCCATGGATGTTGTGATTTGGCTGCTAAAGAGTGTGAGTGCTCCATTTTGCAGGTTTAGGAGTAGTGACAAGAAAAAGTAGCAATATAGACGTGGTTCACGCAGCGCCTCGTATACATGTGCCATTTTGATCTTTTTGTTTTGGACCACAGCGTTATCCAATGTACGCTCCTCTACGATCTTTTCTTCTTCAGCTGTGAGTCGAAACCAGCGTGATTTCGGCCGATCAGGCAGGAAAAAGAAGAATAGGAAACCCAGCGAAAATGTGAAAGCACCCCAAATAATGTTACACCTACAAGAACCATTATCAGCCCCATGATTCAATGCGCATTATCTCAAGCCCTTACCATCGCCATGCTCGAAGACCACGCTCACCATCCATGTTGGCAATGCCGTAAGAAATCAAACCACCAAAGATACCTGTAGCGGCATTACACTGGAATACCGTACCATACCACAAGACCTGCTCAGAACGCCGATACAATGTACTGATGAGCAGAAAAATGCTATGTGATATACGCTGCGTATAAGTTTTTCTTTTCCCGATACAACATGCAGCCATTTCACGTACGCTGGGTATGTGGTGCCCTCCCAAAAACCAAGCAGAAAGCGTAAGCCAGCCAATTGAGAAAAGTTGTGAGCCAAAGCCGTGAGAGCAAGACATGCACCCCAAATCACAAGGATAGTGCCAAGGTACTTTGATATTTGCACACGCTGAATAAAGTATTGGTTCGGGATCTATCGCGATTATAGTGTTAGCTATGCTTGAAGAAGTAGGCAAGTAGAAATCGATTACCTGGATCACCAAAAAGCCAACATAAAACATCGAGCCGAGCCATGCAAACTGGTCATGTGAAATCCCCGTCTCGTAGATACCCATAATCCCACTAAAGTTGAGCACGCTTTTATCCATGTACTATGATGATCAAAATGTTAACATTGATATCATGATCCTGATGACATGCAAAGGATTGATTACCTGTGTAAAGATAATGAGGCAAACCATTGGCACGAATGTCATGTTGATCTTGCGAACGACTCTTTTTTCGGCATCCGATGGTGCAGATCGACCTTGCTCGGCCGATGATATATCATCGCTTGCAGAGGATTGGATATGCTCATGAAAATCAACCGTTGTTTCTTTTTTCTCTTCGACCTCGGACATGTGCTTATCGTTGTTGGGTAGGGGGTGATTGCCGCACTATGGGAAAGAGTCAAACAATGAGCATTTATATGCATTGCCGGATATCGTTGATCTGTGGACCTATGTAATACAATGGAATACAAGCATGCGCTTCGTTTGTGATCCAAGCTTGGGAAATCGCCTAGATGTACTTACCAATTTTTTTTCTCATTCGTGGGGGTAACTCTCTTATCCGGGAACTTTACTTTTTCCATATTTGGTATTTTCCTGCTGTGGGATTTTTGACTACATGCACAATCTCTTTGACACTATCGAGATGATGTAATCACATTTCTAGAACAGTGGCGCTCATAGGGGCGTGTTCTACCAGTAGGAAACTATCGACATCATCATTTCATGTTCAAACGAATCAAACGGCTGACAATACAATCAATCTTGGATGTTCAACAATACAACCATTTTAGACTTGAAGCGGTTTATCTGTTATCTCTTAATTCAAAGAAACGATAAGCTTTCCCAAGACCACCTATCTCCACCGTGTCTAATTTTTTTACGTGTTGCCTTATTGGCACTCAACAAGGGGATACAACGTTACCCACACTTATCGTGGGTAAGAACAATCCAAAGCGACGCGTCCACGCGAAGTATCACATGATGTATTTTACAGTTTGAGCATTTCCCGATATCGTATTTAGGAGAGAGGATGGTAGATAAAGCCTTCAAGAGTCACATGATGTGGGAGATCAGATGGCGGCAATAGACAATCTCTTCTTGTCTCTTCCTACAAGGTCCGCCAGCCCTTTCGTTTATTCCACTACAGCCATGCTACGATCTATACGACCATGTTGTTTCCAACATACAATACGACGATTCTACAGTGCAATTCACGCTAAGACGACACTCGAGTTGCCAGACAAGGTTCCATTCCAGTTGACAAGGGAGCAATGGGCGCTCGGTAGCTGTTTATTTTATGCGCATAACCAATGAACCAGCGTGTTGATTTCCTCCTTACGAACACACAGACGACAGCAGACAAATGCAGTCCATGTTCGACTTGATCAAAACCCGAGAGACAAGCAGCATTCTGCAAGTACCTGGAAGTACTTATGGGTAAGAAAAAGATGCGTGTTACATATGGGGTGGGCGTGTATATCATGCATACTGATAGCTCTTGTTTGATAGTGGCAAGTTTACATTGGATTGGACAGAGCAAAAGCCGAGGAACGTTTTGATCATCAAGAAGCTCAACGATGTGAAAACTGAAAAGGCATTATTGGACGTGGCAAAGTAAGTTGATGACAGCAATAAGAGACAGGCTTGGTAACACAATGATCCCATTAGCTGGCTCCATGAAGAACATCCAGAGTTTAATCTCATTGTCGAACCTGGGGTTGCAGAGCACTTCAAAGAACAATTACCATTCGTTCATGTTGTACCTCCAGGTATGGTTTATTGCTGAAATGAATGTATATGAAATGATACTCATTCTTATGATAGATCACAAAAATGAGTATACGCGTACGGTCGATTTTGCTATTACGCTTGGTGGCGATGGGACGCTCTTGCATTTGGCTTCATTATTTCCAAAGGCAGCACCTCCGGTTGTGAGCTTCTCGCTTGGCACTCTTGGATTTCTCATGTCATTTCGTAAGTGTGTGTGATACAGATCCGGTGTCGTGCTACACAATGAAACATGGCTCATTATGTATATGCATGGGATAGGACTCAAGCACTTTCGACGCGTGTTGAATGATATGACTGCGGGGAAAATGTCATTGATGCTTCGAATGCGACTCTTTTGTTCTCTTCATCAGCCTGATGGTCGACGTATATCTGTGGAGGGAAAAGAAGTGGGCAAGTATCCAATCATCATGTAATGGATGGCATCAGCTAACATGGATAATAGGAGATCGGCAAGTAATGAATGAAGTAACTCTTCACCGTGGGCGATTCCCTCACTTGACATCTCTGGGTTGCTTTGTGGATGGTGAATACTTGACAGAATGTGTGGTAAGCAATCAATCTTTGGAAGGTTAGGCAAAAGGCTTACTCAAACATTTGCTAGGCTGATGGGTAAGGGCAAAACATAGGGAATACAAGTATAAACGTTGCTGATCAAGATGGTCTTAGCCTCATTGTATCAACACCCACTGGATCAACGGCATATTCATTATCAGCCGGTATGGTAGTATCCTCATCAACCTTTTTCCCAGGCTTATTCATTCATATGCTATTACCATAGGAGGACCCATTGTACATCCAAGTGTGCAAAGCCTTGTTATGACCCCGATTTGCCCTCGTTCTCTTTCATTTCGTACTGTGCTATTACCACCAAGCGCCAACATTCGTTTAGAGGTATGTTATTAAAAGAGAGGATAGTAGTCGAGTTGATCTAATGGAGTTGAATGATGCGTGTAGGTTGGTGATGCAAGTCGGAGTCAAGTGGAAGTATCAATGGATGGACAAGAAGTATTTTTACTCGACAAGGGTGAATATCTCCAGGTAAAGTGATTGGTATCAAGGAGTACAACAAGGCGCAGTAATTAATGGAGTGATGTATGTGTAGGTGCGAATGTCGAAATATCCTATCCCATGTGTTACGCGTGTCAGTGAGGGTACTGATTGGGCCAAGGATATAAATGAACTGCTCAAGTGGAATCAAAACTTTGGACGCAACCTTGTATAAAGCGGCAGCAATGAATTGCACAAATGATGATTATCGAATTTACGCGCAGCCAAGGGCTCAGGAGTCCAGCCATTACGCCCGGACATTGTACATTTTTCTTGCTCACAGCTTTGATCTGGTTGATCTACCTGCTTATGATGTTATGCTTACGACTCTCCTTGACATTGTTTCGTTATACCCAGCGGAGGGACCAGTGAAAGGATTCATTGATGGAATTGATCAGATGTGCCAGTGTTATCAAGCCTATGCCTAGAAGAAGGAGGGATTGCCGTATTGGGGATGATCATTTTATTGTCAAATGAGACTGTGGTTGGGTACGTTTTTAAAGTTTGTGTGCAAAGGACAACGAAAATACATGGATTTGGCTAACCCCAAATAAGGAGGTTCAAATTTGCCAGGCAATTATTTTTGGCCCTTTTGTGTTCCTGGTTACTGTTACACATCAGTTATCACCTTAAATTCCTCTTCACATCTTATTACCTTTGCTTTCCTTTCCTCTTTTCTTTGTCGATTTCAAGCCCATCGTTTTGGCCCCTTCCTTTCTTTTGTATTTCTCTAAAACATATCCCCCATCGTGGTGTCTCTGGAATACCTCCTCAAGTAAGGTTATCAGCCTATTCCCCTTCACAGTCCTTTCGACACATATACATACAACACCACCACCACCATGTATCGCAGCCCACCGCCGACGCATCACAAATCCGAGTTCGATCAATACCCGATGCATGAAACGAACTTTTCTCCTCGTCCTGGTGACAGAGGATCGCCCTTTGCAGATCCATACATGGACCCGCCAATGCAACGCAACAACTTTGACCATCAACCATTACTTCAGCAACCAGCATCACCCTATGTAGGTGGATCACCACGCCCTGTACAATTCATGCCGGGATCCCCAAATCCACGTTACGGTGAAGCTCCCCGACGTCAACCTCGCCGATACAAAACGAGTAAGTTACCACTTTTAATCATGGCTTGTTGTTGTTATTAGCACCTGAGCTATGTTGCTAATTATGCTATTGCCTTTTTATTACAGCTCGCAAAGTCAAGCTTACCCGTGGTAATTTGGTTCTTGATTGTCCTGTGCCTACAAGATATCTGCAAGCTGTACCAATCAAGGAAGGCAAGGAGTTTACGCATATGCGCTATACAGCTGCCACCTGTGACCCAAAAGATTTCGCATCCCAAGGATACACACTTCGTCAACAGCTATTGGAACGAGACACAGAGCTCTTCATTGTGTTGACCATGTACAACGTAAGTTATATTGGGATCGGGAGAAAAGGATTTGCAAGAATATGAAGGACGAAGGCTAATTTTATGATTTGATCTTCATGTTGTAACACAAATAGGAAGATGAGGTTCTCTTTGCTCGTACAATGCATGGTGTTATGAAGAACATTGCTCACTTGTGTGGTCGTGATCGATCAAGAACATGGGGTCATAAAGGATGGCAGAGGATCGTTGTGTGTGTTGTATCCGATGGTCGTAACAAGATCAATCAGCGTACTCTCTCTTTGCTCGCTACATTGGGTGTATATCAAGATGGTGTTGCCAAGAATATGGTGGGCGATAAAGAAGTAACTGCCCATATTTATGAGGTAAGAGTCAAATAGAGAGCGAAAGAAGAAAAGACTAACGCGAGATGGCATCATCAATGTAGTACACAACACAACTTTCCGTTGATCCCGATATGAAATTCAAGGGTGCTGACAAGGGCATTACTCCATGCCAGATGCTTTTTTGTCTCAAGGAAAAGAACGCTAAAAAGATCAATTCGCATCGTTGGTTCTTGCAAGGCTTTGGCCCATTGATTCGCCCCAATGTGTGTGTCCTGATTGATGTTGGCACTCGCCCTGGTGGTACATCTATCTATCATTTATGGAAAGCCTTCGACATCAATTCCAATATCGCTGGCGCCTGTGGCGAAATTCGTGCAATGACTGGCACCGCTGGTGTCGCATTACTCAATCCATTGGTGGCTGCACAAAACTTTGAATACAAGATGTCCAATATCCTTGATAAGCCTCTCGAATCAGTATTCGGTTACATCTCTGTGTTACCAGGTGCATTTTCTGCATATCGTTATACAGCTCTGCAAAATGACGTCAATGGCCATGGTCCTTTGGAAAAGTACTTTTTGGGTGAAACCATGCATGGTGGTGACGCTGATATCTTTACTGCCAACATGTATCTCGCCGAAGATCGTATTCTTTGCTACGAATTGGTCGCCAAAAAGAACGCACATTACGTCTTGCATTATGTCAATAGCAGCTATGGTGAAACTGATGTCCCTGACAAGGTATGGAGAGAAAGATGTGGTCATCAATCACGTGATAGATTGACGCCATTTTGTTTGACTACATAGGTGGATGAGTTGATCTCCCAAAGAAGACGTTGGCTGAACGGTAAGGAGATAGAGACTTTATAAAAGGAGAAAGCGATGCTCATGATGATACGCCTGTGCTTTAGGTTCATTCTTTGCTGGTGTATATGCTCTTTGGCATTGGCGTAAAGTGTGGTCGTCCGATCACTCCTTCATCCGCAAGCTGGTTTTTATGGTGGAGAACTTGTATAATACCTACAATTTGATTTTCTCATGGTTTGCCATTGTAAGTGATATTCTCTAATGCTGATGACACGATTGAAACTCACAAATCATTTTGTAGGGCAACTTTTATCTTACTTTTTATATTCTGACCAAGGCCCTTGGAGCCGATACACTTGATCCCCAGCCATTTTCTCCCGACATTGCCAACATTCTACATACGGTGCTCAACTACATTTACGGCCTCTTGATGATTGTGCAATTTGTGATTGCTTTGGGTAACCGGCCACAAGGATCTAAATGGCTTTACACGGGCAGCATGGTATTCTTTGCTTTATTGATGGGCTACATGTTATTTGCCACTGTTTGGATTACTATTGTCGGCATTACTTCAGCGATCGAAGATTCGGATGGATCATTTACGTCAATGATGGGTGGAGAATTGTTCCGCAACATTGTGGTGTCCGTGTGTGCAACCTATGTCATGTATTTTGTGGCCAGTTTCTTATTTTTGGATCCTTGGCACATGTTCACGAGGTAAATGGTTACATTTTATCATACATGGGACGATGATGATGATCGTTTCTTTGTGTATCATTGGATGGTACTCATACCTATACGTTTCTATAGCTTTATTCAGTACATCTTTTTGTCACCATCCTACACCAACATCCTCAATGTGTATGCATTTTGCAATATCCACGACGTATCATGGGGTACCAAGGGCGACAACAAGGTGAACACCGATCTTGGTGTCGTGCAAGCGAAGAAGGATGAATCGGGTGAGCATACAGCCGAAATTGATTTGCCCACAGAGCAAAAGGACATGAATGAAGCATACGAGGCGGCATGCATTGAATTACAGCGTAAGCCCGAAGTCGAGGTGCAGCATCGCGACGCACAGACAAAGCAAGAAGATTACTATCGCTCTTTCCGTACACGTCTCATTCTCTTTTGGATCATTTCAAACTTGATCCTCGTGATCTGCGTTACCAGTGCAACCGTGTTTGGCTGGTGGGGTGACTTTGACAGACGTAGCACTGTTTACCTTGGCTTCATTCTATGGTCCGTTGCCGGTTTATCAGTCATTCGATTTTGTGGTGCCACCCTCTATCTCATTCTTAGGATCTTTACTGGTTAAAGTCAACTTTGTTTTCCCTTTTTTCTCTCTTTTTGTGTATTCATCATTTCATCATCATCACATCAAGACCCTATTATACATATATATATAACTATACATTAAGCTTTGAAACAATGGTTGCACAAGCATCGACGAAGATTTGACGCGTGGATTAGTGGGAATCAAGATCGCGTGTGCATATGGGATTAAAGGAGAGCATCAGAATGAGAAACAATACACGAGATGGAAGATCGATGGACAAAGGTTGTTCAACCAGGAAGCCATGTGCATTATGTGTAAACGTGGCATCAAACATGTCTTTCGCTGTATGTGGCACGTTACACACGTATTGTGTTAGTGCGCTATTCTGACCACACAGACTCTGCAGCTCGAAATGAAAACGTAACATGTTATCGTCGGCAGATTCGCATCCCCAATTGATCCACGTGTGCAAGCACCTTGTGCAGGATAACATCAAGCATTAATGTGTAATGGGTGAGCTTGTGCTTGTGACACGAACAAATCTTGTGTAAGGATGTTTGCATGCTATCCATGGAAATGACATCCATTCAAGGGGTATGCGAAAAAGAGAGTGTGCGTGTCTTATCTCGGCAACACGAAACAATCATGCTCATCTTGCAGATCAAAAACAAAGGAGAACAAAGAGAGGAGACAAAGAGGCGATTTGTTGCCCAACCACACGATGATTTGCTCATCGCATCTATCCAATACCACCGCTCTCATCATACCACATATGCAGATCCACCTTATACGATACACAACAATAACAACCACCAGTATGGGAGGACCCTATTGCTGACAGTAGTACCACTAGGATGAAAAAATAAACCATTAACAAACCACTGATTCCCCTTTTTCTCAAATGGGGAGGTTTGGGGGTCGAAGGGAGCAACGACAAATCTGTTGGACACCGCACCTTTTTTTAATCTTGCTTCACCTTCTCTTTCTCTCTTTTCCTCTTTTTTCTTTGCTCAACGTCTCCTCAACCCCCAATCTTTTATATCTTCTTTTACTCTGTACATAGTTTCTTTGTGGAGATCCCTCATTAATTATCACCACCACCACTACCACCACATAGCCCAACGGTGTACATGCGTTCATCCTGTTACTGCTGCTGCTGCTGCTGAATCTATATTCAACCATCACTACACGAAAAAGAAACAAGCACGCGGTATATACTCCATATCCCCCATCTCTCTTTCTCCTTTTTTCCATCTCACTCATTCACACTCTCACCACACACAGAAAAGGCCCCGCCATAGCCACTCGATTATCTCACATATCAGCATCAGCGACAACATCATCATTCATTTATACATACAACACACACCCACACACATACCATACCAATAATGTCAACAGACGCATTGATGGCAACCACCACCACTCAACAACACAATACGAAGCCTGTTTCGCTTTCACCACCAGCGTCGTTGCCAAGTTCACCACGTAGCGTTATCGAAGGTCCACCATCTGCATCCACTTCCCATTTTGTACAAGCTCTACACGATTATCAACCATCTTGTGCACCAACTGATGAAAGCGTGTCATGCCTATTTTTCCGTAAAGGAGCTATTATCGAGGTGTTTAATCGCGATAGTTCAGGGTGGTGGGATGGCGTCTCGAATGGAGTGCGTGGATGGTTTCCAAGCAACTACGTGGGACGAATCGGAGAAGCAAGCATGGATTATTGCTCCGGGGAAGCTACCATCAATGATGATGATAACGGTGTTATGGTAGAAAGAGAGAACAATGAGAACACAGCCTCATCTCTGGGAATCGATGGTGGTGATGAATCTTTATCAGCTGCTTCTTCCTCGACATCATCGCTATCTTTATCAAGCAAGGTAAGAAATTATAGTTCTATTGCATCCCTCCACAACAAGCTTTTCAAAATGAATCCTTGCCAAAAACAGTGGTCTCACACAATTTGAATGCATACCCCGCAATACTCACCCATATCAAACAACAATAGATCCAAAACCAGCAACGGCGATCATCATTGTCATCATCTTCTTCAACAACACAACCTCCCACCAACACCTCTACCACCACCACCACCAAACCCACTGCTTCCAAGAAGCCATCGAGTCGTGTAGAGCTTGCACGTGCATTATTGAGCGAGGATCGTCACAAAGAAAAGCAACAAGGACAAGAACAGCATCAGGATGCTACAACAACGACCACAAGCAAAAGCGATTGGGGTGCACTACGAGATGAAATGGAACGACGTATTGCCGAATTGATAGATGCTTGTCAACAAAAGCCACCAGGCAATGTACAAATGGCGACCTTTCACGTGGTATCATCGATTCGAGCCATGTTAACAGCTGCTTGTGCAGTGAGCAATGATGCACCATTACTTAAATCATATCCAGAATTGGGTCGACAACGTAAAATGATTCTCAGCACATTGAGCCGGTTGGTGCTCAAAGGAAAGGAACTGCAGGCGGCTCCTGAGCTCTCATCACTTGCACAGCAACTTCTCAAGGAAATGGATGCATTTGAGCAGCAGCTAAAAAAGACACCTGATTCACCCATCCATTCGATATCCAACAACAATAATAGCGATAGCGATGCTAGCAGCAATAGCAGTGGTCGATTATCAAGCATGTCATTGATTGCACGTGCGGTGCCACTGGATGATGCACGCCATATTCTACAAACATTGCAAGACCACCAGACAACGATTATGCGGTTGATGGGTGATTTAAGGTCGACCATTGATCGATTTGTGAAACATGAAGAACGTGCCACTGATATGCTCGAGACGACACGCAAGGCTGTGGAAGCCGTACGCACATTTTTGGCTGTGATTGAGCATGTATGTTCCAACGTGGGCGATGTTGACTATGGCCATCATTCGGTGATCCCACAAGACCCACAATTAGTTGCATTGGTGCTTGCCAAAGAATCCGTCTATAGTGCCATCACCAGCTTGGTTACATGCGTTCGTGCACTTGCTGCCGGCAAGCCAACGCATGATGATATGCGTGATTTGTACAAGAGCTGCGACATTGTTACCAACACCGTGAACGATAGCGCTGATCGCGTGCGATCGTGCTTTATGGAAAATAGCAATGTACTTGGTGCCAACCAACAAGACGTGGATGTGGGTGCCATGCGTGAAAAATTGGAAAGCTCACTCGAATCACGGCGAAATCAAACACTCAGCATTCTTGGTCGCAAGGCAACCAGTCTTAATGTGCTGCAAGATCAATACGCCCAACAACAACAAAACATTGTCGACTCGCTTGAAGTGGCAGAGAACAATCATCGAAATAGCACCAACACCACTACCAGTAGCATTCGATCAAGCATTAGCAGCGTTAATACCACAAGTACTGCTGAAGGAGGAGGTCAACAACAAATGGTGCGAAGAGCACGTGCATTATCTCGAGCAAGCCGTTCCACATTACGATTAGCTACTATCACAAGTGAAGATCAAAATGCACCACCACCTGTGCCACCCAAGAACGAGATCAAGCCTACAAGTAGTAAATCAACTCCCATGGCACCAGGTCGTTCTCATCGTCCACGTGGTTTAAGTTTATCATCTCTACGCATGTCAGCATCGGTTACCAAGCAACGAAGTGACTCGTTGTCATCATCCACTGAAACCTTAGCTGAGCCATCACCTCAAATTCGAAGAACATCATCATGGATGACTATCAATGGTGTTGGTGAAAGGCGTGACAGCTTACCGGCATTCAAGGTAAAAGAAAATACGGATAGGTTAAGGTCCAATGGTATTAACAACACTTTTGTTTAGGCGGAGCATGAGCCATGGTTTTTGCGACAACGTGAGTTTTCCGAAGATGAGATCATGTACAACAACGAGGGACAAGTAACGGGTGCCACGGTGGAAGCATTGGTTGACAAATTGACACAACATGAAAAGTCACCAGGTAGCACATAAATCATGAATATCTTGTTATTGTTTTGCTAACGTGTAACACATTCACATAGAGCTTTTGTTTATGCGTGCTTTCTTTTACAACTTTCGGCAATTCACTGATCCAATCACGTTCTTGGATTTGCTTATCAAGCGCTTCCATTTGCAGCCTCCTAGTGGTGATGGTGCTCCTTTAACACCTGACGACATGGCTTTGTGGACAAATCGTGTATTGCTACCTGTACGCTTGCGTGTATACAATGTCATCAAGACATGGCTCGAATCATTCTTTTATTATGAAACCGATGGGCCTACAGAAAAGACGCTTGTCAACTTCATCACTGGTCCAATGATGCAAGCTATGACAAGTCCTGCAAAACGCATGATGGATCTTGTGCGCAAACGAGTAAGCAAAATCAAAAGGAGATGATTGAACAATGGGAATACTAAATTTGGTCCATAGTACACATCTCGATTGTCATCGGGCCGTAAATTATCATTTAGCAGTGAACCTCGCTCATTACGCAAGCAGCCATCAGGATCCCACATTTCACTATCATCAGGCACATTGCTCTTTTCCACGCTCTTTGAAGATGGATCAAATGGTCCACCTAACATCACCCGATCATTGCGTAATAATTTGCGGAAGGCCATGAGTCAAGGTGTCTTGTCGAGCATACACATTAGCGAATTTGATCCACTCGAATTGGCGAGGCAGCTGACATTGATGGAAAGTGCGTTATTCTGCCAGATCGAGCCTAACGAGATGATTGGTCAAGAATTCAAAAAGAAAGTGGGATGCAGCACAGCTGTTCACGTCAAAGCCATGATTCAACGCAGCACACAAATTACGAGTTGGGTATCTGATACCATCTTGCGAGAATCGGATATCAAGAAACGTGGTCAAATGATCAAATTATGGATCAAAGTTGGCGATGTAAGTTATACACAACTTGTTGAATGTTTATCATGATAGCTAAGATAATCCATTTCTTTCTTTAGCATTGTCTTCAATTACGGAACTATAATACGTTGATGGCTATTCGATCAGCTCTTGTGTCAACAAGTATCGCACGGCTGAAGCGTACATGGGAATTTGTGTCCGCCAAATACAAGGCCATGTATGATCCAATTTATCGAGCCACTGATTCGCAACGCAATTTTGCCGAGTATCGACGTCAATTGCGTGAAGCCGTTGCACCGTGCCTACCGTTTCTTGGCGTGTATCTTACTGATATGACATTTATTGATGATGGCAATTCCAATTACCGAACATCACCAGGAGGATGTCAGCTGATTAACTTTGACAAGTACATCAAAACCACTCGTATCCTAAACGAGATCGATCAATTCCAAATCCCATACAAGTTTACTGAGGTTGAGGAGATTCAACGATACCTCGTTCATTGCCTGGAGACTGTAGAGAAGGATGACCAGGTGTTTTATACCCGCAGTCTGCAACTCGAACCTCGTGAAGAGGATTTTGACATCAAGAGCTTTATTTCTAATCTTGCTTAACAACAAAACAACGTGTACAATGTATAAAAAGTGATCCAGTTTTCGTATATTTCTTGATGATGATACATGATATGAATGAGGGATACACCCAATGAAGGTTTATTGATTAAAGTCCAATAAAGAGAGTACATCATTGTTTAGATACCATCATAGGCAATGTCAATAGGGCGTGTGTGTGTGTGCTTGCGACCCTCTTACTCCGCACAAACTTCAAGCGATGCACGCATTTTTGGAGCACAACGCTTTCTTTTTCTCTCTCACACTTTCACCATGGATCTGGTCAACAATTACGGTTCGAGCGACGAAGAGGATCACCAAGAGACGGTTGGCACGATGACCAAGAGCTCCATCCAGATAAATGCCACCCCAGACGCAGGCTTTGATGTAAGCATCGACGACGACACGATCTTCACTGGATCGCTTTCCTTTAATACGAGTCTTTTAGAACAATTCGGTTGGCATCTACACTGCACCAACAGCAACAGAGCTTACAGTCAATGTACCATACGATGATATGATGCGCCCCGTGTATGGTCCCGAGAATCCTCATCGCGATCCTAGACTTGCAACGCAAAACATCTTGACGGGCCATGTTGAGCAGCAGGCTATATCTGAATCAGACTTTCGAACACAAATGCGTACCTTTGAGACGTATGGTTTTGCACGTGATCCATCCCTTGGCAGCAACAATCTTGCAGGACAAACAGGACAAGGCGTGATGGGAACTGGTTATGTGGGCAATCTTGCAGCAGCAGCAGAATTGGGCGGTGTCAGCATCTATGACAGCATCCCCAAAGCCATGCGACCCAATCAAGGAGCAAAAAAGAAACGTATGGCAAAGGGTGATTTATCAGTGGTGGATGGCGAGAATGCATACAAAGGACCATGGGCTGGATACAATGACGACAAGACTTTGCCTGTTCAAGCTGAATCAGAGGAACAAGAGACAGCAAAGGAGGAACAAGTGGAAACGGGCAAGGAGGAAGCAGCAGCAGCAACAACAACAACAACAGAAGGTGGTGAGATGGCATTGACGGCAGCTGACAAGCGCAAAAAGATGATGGAGCCTGGCAACGAGAAGAGCATCTTTCATGGTGAATCCGAATTTGATTATCTTGGTCGGACATACATGGCTGTTCCTCAAGACACTGATGTCAACCTACTTGGTGAAGCTGGCACACAGGAATGCTTTATACCCAAACGGTGCATTCATACATGGGCTGGTCATGCCAAAGGTGTCTCGGCCATTCGCTTCTTGCCTAAGTCAGCTCATCTCTTGCTTAGTGCTGGTATGGATAATAAGATCAAGGTATTGTATATATACAAGGATTTATATATCATGATGATCGGGAAGCTAATACGTGGTATCTAGATTTGGGATGTATATCACAACAGAGATTTACTACGCACCATGATTGGACACGGCAAAGCTGTACGTGACATTGCATTCAGCAACGATGGTCGAAGATTTCTCAGTGCAAGTTATGATCGATACGTTAAACTATGGGATACAGAGACTGGTAAGCAAAAGAGATTGCATGGAGCTGAAATGAATACTTACAAGCATGATTTGATTATAGGTCAATGCATTCGATCATTTAGCACAGGCAAGGTGCCTTACTGTGTGACGTTCAATCCGGATGAGGACAAGCAAAACATCTTTTTGGCGGGTTGTTCAGACAAGAAGATTGTACAATTCGATGCCAACACTGGTGAGATTACTCAAGAATACGATCAGCATTTGGGTGCAGTCAACACAATTACCTTTGTCGATGACAATCGGCGATTCATTACTACATCCGATGATAAGACGATGCGTGCCTGGGAATATGATATCCCTGTTGTCATCAAGTACATTGCCGAACCGGATATGCATTCCATGCCTGCTGTAACACTTCATCCTAGCAGTAAGTATACAAATGTGAATATGGAGGAGAAAAAGGTATCTAACGAATGATGTAATAGATAAATGGTTGGCTTGTCAATCACTGGATAACCAAATTGTTGTATATGGTGCTCGTGATCGATTCCGTATGAACCGCAAGAAACGTTTTGCAGGCCATTTGATTGCCGGTTATGCATGCAAACCAGGCTTTTCACCAGACGGCCGTTTCATTAGCAGTGGTGACTCCAATGGCAATGTGTGGACCTGGGATTGGAAGACATGCAGGATATTGAAAAAGTTCAAAGCACACGACAAGGTGGTCATGAATACAGAATGGCATCCTCATGAGACATCAAAGATGGCAACATGCTCTTGGGATGGTAAGCATCAATAATAATGGTTGGGATCGAGTCGATTGTTTACTAATAGGATTTATAACAGGTTTGATCAAGTATTGGGATTAGAAGACACACAATTATATTCTTGGATTAAACATTATTCAAAACGTGAATTGCCGGATGGGATAAAAGGAGTAACTTGAACAATGTTAAAGGGAAAGGGGTCATTTTTTATTTCGGGAAGAGGTGCTAGCTGTTGTGTGAGCATGTGCATGATTTCACCCGGAGCTGACATGTTGATGCAGCTAGATCATCAATATTCCTTTAACGCGTTGCTAGCTAGCAAACATCATAATAGAATGAGAACTTGGTCATTGTATGGATGCATGTGTGTGTATGTGTATGTGTGTGTATGGGTCATTATTTGAAACTGCTCCTTCTCTTGTTGCCACATTATCCATGCCGAATTAGGACGACGTTCCTCGTTCTTTATCACACAAAGTGTATCTGTTCCACAAGAAGCCAGCTTGTTGGCTATCCGTTCTTCTTTCTCTCTCTCCTTGTTTATCACCCTCGTATTTAATGGAGTCCTTTTTATCTACTTTACCACCGTATGTGCATGACTTTTTGAACAAGCATCCTCCAACTGATGTGTTCAATGTGCTTCGGGAACTCGTTTGTTTCGCTGTTCTTTATTCCAATGACCGTGAACGCATTGCAGCCAAGACCAAGGAATTGCTCGACCAAGGTGCAGACGTTGTTTCCAAGGATACCGACACCGGTAGTATGGGTGGTCAAAACACCATGGCAACCAGCAACGACAATGACAGTATCACTACGACAACTACTGCTGCTTCAAAGTCTTCCAATACGGCAGCTACTGGTGGTGACAAGCCCACCGAGAAAAAGCATGATGTAAACAAAGCTGTAGAAAAGGTTAGTTGCTTGGGAATGTGCATCGATGGCAAAACTAATATTGCTATGGAGAGTAGGTAGTATCGCATGAAGTAGATGTGATCAGTCATCAAGAAGCGACTACCAACTCAAATCAAAAAGGCAGCATGCCTTGGACATTTCCGGATTGGTGGGGACATCACGATGGTAGCGATGAAACCCCTAAGCCCAAAGCTCAAAGAAAACCATCATCGGAAGTACTTTGTAAGTGACATTTATGTATGCAGAAAATAGTGGTCTGACAACAGTATGTGACACAAAAGCACAAGAACCAGCATCCATCATTCCCCAGGAACCGGCAAATAACAAGCCATCAAGGCGTGAGACCGTGAGCACTTGGGTGCCATGTAAGAAGGATGATTCATTTATGTTAGGGTGATATGAGTATGGCTAACATGGTGATATATAGGGGATGAGCCAAGCAATGCAAAGGATACGTCCCGACGCATGCAAAGAAGTATGAGGTATGTGTGTGTGGAATTCAAGTTGGATGCAAGCAGCATTGACTAGTATCCTTTGTGTAGTAAACCCATACCTGATTTACGATCTTATCTGGAAAAGTCGACTCCTGCTAGTCCTCCTTTACAACGACGTGCTACTTCGCAACGTGCCAGTGCTGTGCCAGCTGTCAAGTCATCATCGGGTATTTTATTATATCACTATGCAAATGTCAAGATGGAGATTCTTATGCCTTTTACTATTAGGATCCACTACTCCCGTAACACAACAGCAACGTGCATCAAAGACACCTTCTTCAGCACCCATGTCGCGTACATCATCTACGTATCGTCCAAAGCAAACTGCTACAGTACGTGCACGTGCTGAACGTGCCAAGGCGCAGCAACAAGAAATTGAAGAACGCAAACAAAAGGCAGCACAGCTTAATAATGTGAGTTTGCGACTCAAGCAGCAAGCCAAGTCGACTATCGATTGGGATGCGATTAAGAAAGAACGCAGGAGAACCATGCCAGTAATGCCAAGTACAAAATAGTCATATTCGTAGTCATCATTTTTTATGTTACCCATCATTCAAATAGAATATCCATGTGTATATCAATATCAATATCAAGGGGTACTGTGTGGTGAGGGGTAGTGCGTGGGGTTTAAATCGTGATTCGTCAGGTAGTAGGAGGAGGAGCTGAAAGTGGCTTTGAAAAGACGACCTCCCAGAGCTGCACTCGTGCGGCACACCTTGAGTTCAATGACGACCAGACGCAGGCATCTTCGACGAGGAGCTCTTGAACACGAAGATGCAGCGACACTGAGTCTCGGAGAAGGTAAATAAAAGCTCACTACTACTTGATGAACAGCTTGATTCAACGTCAACCGCTTTCGATTACGCCTTGTTCAGAGTTCAACAATGCCCAATGTCTATACATTTCTGAAGTACGCATCTTGCTCGAAGCACAGCAGGATTCCAAAGAGAGTGGAACGGAAAACAGACCAACAACTAGGTATAAAACGATATGAAAATGGGGTATGTCAGCTGTTCAAGAGCTCAACCTGCTTTACACGCCTACAGTATCACTACAAAGACTTTGGATTACGTGCGCACCTTTAGTCGATTCACCAACCGCGACTCTGTGCGTGAAGTGAGACAGTAAGCATATAGGGGATGGGTGTCTACTTGAAGAACGTGTATTAAGCAGTGGATATAAGATTGTTAGGCAAGGATGATTTGGCTCAATTCGAGGTCGCTCAACTCGCCAATCTATGTTGTGAGGATGCTGAGGAAGCCAAGGCGCTCATACCCAGGTATGTATGCCCATGACCCATGATATCAAAAAAGTACTCATATAAGGGTGAATGGATAGTCTTGCACACAAAGTTGACGATGACAAGGTACAAGAGCTCCTAAACGAAATGCTTACTATCAAAAAGTTCCAAGGCTAGATCAAGCGTATGTATATTTCTATATTCTTCCCTTCATATTGCTCGCTCTTGTCAACCCTGATCAATCGTATCCACACACACCAATACACTCCCACAACCCCCACTTTGTCGTCCACACATACAGCATTTCCTTTTATTAAGAAACAATAAACACACGAGATGTCTCATCTCTGAACCTGCATATCGGTTGTCATGGTAAAAAAATTCCAGGAAGATTGATCACAAGCATTCGAGAATACAAGTCATTCATTACACGCGTTTTGTTCCTCCCTACACGTGCCGAAGGTTTTGGGCCACTACGTTATGCATCATTTGATATATAGAAATCACCTTTATTCAGCACACCTCATTGGTAGTAAAGTATTTGGTTGGCACTACAGTGTCCCAGCATTATGTAAAGTTCGGTTGGTGCTGTCACATGGATATTCATGTAAGGTCCAATGACAAAGCGGTGACATTAATAGTATTCGGATGCTCCAACACGCCTTTTAATAGCGCGTCAGATCCAAGTCGAAATCATCCATGTAGCTTGAAGATCAAGACAATGCCCTTAAGGTCATCATGCAGTTGGATGGTAGGCCCCGGATTATGAAAGGAAGTTCATCAATGCATTCATCGAGAGAAACATGATTGGGTCATTTGTAACAATGACTTAGATCCCCCCCCATTATAAGATCCAAACATTACAATGACGACCACGATGATGAGAGCAGAAGGATAACGATCAACATCGAACTTTAATTCATGTAACTGCTATTCATGATACCCATCAATCATGCTCTTTTGAAAAAGAAAGCAGGCAAAAGAGTAGCGTGATAGAACTAAGAGAGATATGGATGGTGATGTATGATGTCGTGTGAATCTGTATGCTGAAACAAAGAGTAAAAAGTGCATAATAGTAAGGCGATATTATAAAAAGTATGGTGAATGCAGGAGATAGCAGTATCGAGAACCCTTTGTAGCCATATACACCACAAACGACACAACCGTATGAGCCCATATCATATTTCGAATTTGAGCGTTCGAGCGAACTAGGTGGTGGTAGTCATGGCTACCGAGAACATCATCTTATCATGCATGGCTAGAAACCACGTTTATTTGCGTTCCCACTCAAACACCGCCATGTTCACACCTTCTTCCAACAACTTTTAAAAATGAACCGTGGACCCGTTGTATTGTAAGTATTACAGCTTGAACGCAATGGTACAATGGACATTGACAAACACTATTCAAGGTCGATCGATGAGGCCGAGTATTTGCTTGATCAGGTGCCTCCACCGGAAGCTGATGAGGAGCCTATGGTGACCAGACTACGCGAAAAGCTTCGAGAACTATTGACTGAGCTACGCAAGGGTGCAGAAGGCAACAACTAGGACGATCATTGAATGGATACAAATATATAATTTTTTTTTATTTGATACGCATCATCAAGTGGTGGTGGTGGTGGTGGTGGTGGTGGT